AACATGCAGTCTTCATTTAAATTATACATTTTTTAATATGTTCGTATCACTGATTTTTCGGTTTTTTTTCTTTTCGTTGTGTTTTCTTGCTGTAGTTTCTCCCCATGATTACTGTTTAGTGTTTTATTTGTTTAATTATCGTTATATTTATCAACTGTACCTTGAAAATGTATAAAGACTGATGTAAATTTATTTTATTCTGCTTTAGATACTGAAGATAGAATCTGATAGAATTCCGAAACGTTTATCCATGTCCCTTTTTTGTCAATAAACAATGTTGTATATCATAAGTGTCGTAATCTTGTTTATAGTCAAACTTCTTTTTCCTTCGAACACATCGATTGCTGATATATTTCAGACTTGAAACATCATGTTTATTTTCAAACTGTTATTCTCTCGGGATGGATGTAATATCAGTCATATTTTTAATTTGGTTACACTTCATGCTGATAAGTGATCAAAGTTGAAACATCATGCTTATTTTCAAACTGTTCTTCTCTCGGGATGTAACATCAGAAAGTTCAGAGCTAATGAGTAAATTAAGCATTTAGTTATTAAGTATATTTACAGGACCTCAATGATGACATTAAAACAAAAAAGAAGCATATAAATTAACAAGCTGACGTTTGATGGAAATATATTTGTATTGTCCTCCAGTGATAAGTTTATAGACTTATAACGCTAAAATCCGGAGTTCTGTTACACGCGGTGGACACAACAGGTAGCCTAATGTGGTTTTACTTTAAAACAAACAAACAAATACATTTGTATATGTATTTTGTATTTAATGACAAAGCTGCCCAGTCTATCTGCCGCCATCTATAATTCTGAATTATTGGTCAGAAGGTTTGTTTGTTTGAAGTTAAGCACAAAGCAACACAATGGGCTACCTGTGCTCTGCCCACCATGGGTATCGAAACCCGGATTCTAGCGTTATAAGTCCGCAGACATACCGCTGTGCCACTGGGGGGGCTGGTTAGAAGTAAAACAGTCAGTAGCACCTTATCACACCTCATCCACGCTATGCGCTTAACAGTCATTTTTATAGTGCACCTATAACTTAAAGTGCGTGGGGGGGGATCTTTTGAGGATTCGAAACCGGCTCACCAGCTCCGAAATCCAGAGGTCTACCATAGGCCCAACTTGCGCCCATAGGAGCTACTATAATGAAGGAAGTTAAAGGATTAGTATATAAAAAATAACAAAAGTTAAAAAGAAAAATAGGAAAGATTTTGTTTTAAAAAAAGATTAAAATCATGCAAATCAAACGTAAATTCATTGTTGAAGATGTTGTTTGCTCAGCGCAATGCTATACAGTGCGCTATCTGTCATCATGAGGAATCGAACTTCAGATTCGAGCATTGTAACTTCGTAAACGGTACGCTGATATATAGGGAAACCTTAGATGAAAAATATGAACGATGAGCTGTAAGTTGTTGAAACATCTGTAAAAAAATAGTTCAGTGTAAGTATACCACTGGCATTTCATCTTAAGAAATAAAATAAATATACAGAAATAAATGAAAATATGCCAAAATAGAACAACAACAACAACTAGAAGCCTAAATTAAGTGTGTATGAGTATATTTGTATGAGTATGAGCTACTTAATTTTCCTTTGTACTTTCGTGATCACTATCTACCCAAAGTATCTCCTCTTTCGTCTGATAGAAACACAATAAAACCAAGATCAACTGTTATAAGATAAACACATTGGGAAGTGTTAACCTAGATCATCAACCCGGAGAACTATGGAAGTATGGTTTTAAGGTACACTTTATCTGACAGTTATGGAAAATTCTTTCCTGACTCATGTTTCTACAATAAATGAATATATATATACATATAACCTACAGAAACTGGTTCATCTACGTCTGGTAAAGTATTTCTGGCTCGTCAGAAACCCTAGAATTGTGCAAGTGCCGTGATTTTGCAGCTGAGTCAACATTTGTTACATCACAGGGAGTCGTGAGCTCTGTCCGTTAGGATCTGGTAGCGAGATTATGCGAATGGTAATAATATTTAAGGGGAATTATTCACTATAGTTATTACTCACCTTTTGAAATGCGAAGCTGGTCTCAAAGGATCATATAGAGTCAAAGAATTAGCCAATATATAACTGTAGTCAGCGGAGGTTGATGTCTGGAGATTATGTAGCCAAGGCTACGGGGTCAGTAGATGTGACAGACCTTGTAACCACCATAAATATTATCAAACAAATCTGAATTACTCCTTTTTCTCTTTTTAGAATAACTGCAGATTGTAACAGAAAACGACAACAATTGTTTATCCCAAGTCTCGTAACAGTCTACACCTGTTTATACTTAAGCTTATTATTTTATTGCCCTCTGGAATGTGTCTAACTAATAATTCTGCCACCCAAGTTGTAAATCACAGGGGGAACGTGTAGCTCACATTAACGTGTTGAATGACGTAACACACGAGCAGCTCGCAAGCATACTCATGAAGAATTTATATATTTTTCCTTTATCTTATCTCATCCAACCTAATAACTTTCTAATATCAACATTTTAGTTAATTTTATAACAATTAATAATAATAAAAAATACATGAAAAACAAAACGTGTAGTACCTATAGCGGTTGCCGATGAAATTCAAGCCTGCCTTTTTTATACTATTACACTAAATAATTTTTGTTTACTTAAATAATGCACCTAAGAATACATAATAATAACACGTACAAATCAAACAATGTCCTGTAACTATTACAATTTCCCCGAAGAAAAACCGAAGGCTGCCTGGAGGGGGTCAACTATTTTAACCACTCGCACCAGTATACAGTAATGTGTTGTCTGTCAATCAGTCAGTCGACATTAAAATAACGTCACATAAAGGACGCTTAACGTTGCAATTTGAATCACGAAAAGAATTATGCACTCTATAAGCTATAACACAGCATGACTTACGAACGTCAAAAGCAACAAATAATGTTATTTGTTACTCTTAATTTTGGTTTATTTACTTTTGAAACAGAATATTTTCAGCGACCCTGTGGAAGTACATCTAGTTTAATCGGTTTTCTAACTAATACAAGAAGGGTTTAAAATAATTCCCTTAGCAGCACGTTCTGAATGACACGAGATAGCCCCTCAGTGGTACAGCGGCATTTCTGCGGACTTACA